GACAAACTTCTTTGGCTATTAAAAGGGCTTTCTTTAGTCAAGAAGTTTAGTTAACTTTAGTTTAGGGTCCAGTCCTGGTCCAGACTGACCAGTTATCATGCGCGAAAAAAATATAATTAGATTGATTTACGCGAGAAATTTCCCCGTTTATATACATCTTCCAGAGTGTGGGGCAAATGAAGCTTGTGCAATGTATAACAGGCCACGACAAACTTCTTTGGCTATTAAAAGGGCTTTCTTTAGTCAAGAAGTTTAGTTAACTTTAGTTTAGGGTCCAGTCCTGGTCCAGACTGACCAGTTATGTCACCATTTCAACCATCAATGAACGCATGGAACTAAAACAAAGCTTAATATAAAGGAAAAACTAGAGAAGTGACGGAATTACCTACGATGTCGGAATATACCGCGTTTACCCAACTGCAAAGTGGCAGACTGGCAGGAAACCAGACACCAGTACTGCAGTTAGGTGTCTGCAGTACTGATATACTGTACTGCACCAGTACAGTACCTAGTACCTACTGATTTATTGCCACTTTGCAGTTGGCAGTTTATAATCCGCAGCAGTCATAGCTCTTATAAGTTATAGACCAATTTGAAATATTCAGTAGCTAATACCTAGTTTCTTGAACTAGCAGGTAATAAAGGTCATTTTATGGTTTATTCTGCACTTAAGAGGCCAATCTGGACATTTGGAAAAAAGTTTCTCTAAGTAGTGGTTAAAATTGATTACCTAATGTATTTTGTATTAGAAAATTTCACAAATTATGATCAAATATGAGCCAGAGAAATAGGTAAATTGTATGGACCTTGGTAACAAATAACAATTGCTAACACACACACAAGCATTGAAAACATCTACCTTTAGGGCCGCGACTAGAGGTTTCCCGCGTCTGCCATTTCTGGAACCACAAGATTTCCGCCTGATAAATTACTTTGCATCCAATTGACCTGGCAATTGTTAACAAAAGTGTGCAACCGCAAGATTCCAAATGTATTAAAAATTTGTCACGTTGGAGCCACAAGATTTCAGAAACAAGTAGGAAAATTCCAATCCTGCACACACACACACATATATATATATCACTAATTCACTATACGGAAGATGTCATTGTTTAACCTTCCAGCACAGAACACCACCTATGCCAATATGAGAAAAATTTTCTTGAATGAATAATGGTTGGGTTGATGAAATTAAAATGTTGGCATGTATGTATGGCATATAGTCTAGTCAGCATTTATGGCCCATGGGGACTACTACATTTCATTAAACTTCGAGTTTCAACCTTTTAAATAATCAGAATCATTTGAAATTGAACATTTTTATGTTTTGAGTTTCATAATTCTGCTGCAGCCCATTTGAAATTCACATTGAATAATTGCTCCAGACTCCAGTATACAAATTTTAGTTAGAAGTTAGAAATTGTTATCTCCTATTACCTATTTGTTTGCAGCTAACAATGATAAAAAATCTTGAACACTTTATCCATTATATATATATACCACTAAAATTGATATTATTTTTAGTACAGAATTAGATCCAGAAATCATTTTCCATAGTTGGATCAAGATTATTTTATAGATTAAGCGCCACCTGACTGATTATATGTTTCTACTTGAGGAAAATGATTTATGGACTAAGTGAGTGAGGAATAAGTAAGAGTAAGACATTTCTTTCTCTATAACTTATCTTCATATGGGTGGTAATACAGGATTTATATTAGAGGTACCAGTATAAGGCTAAGATGTCAACATTAGGCTAAGATGTCAACCATTGCCAAATGTTAACCATAACCATCATGATAATATGATATGATAGGTTGGAGTAGCTCATATGCCAGTTACATGGTGGTATACTTGTCAGTTACTGGGGGCTTTACTATGTTTCCCTGACCTATATAGAACTTCTGCTCACTGCTGGTCTTGATCACGTGATCTGTCATGTGATGTTGTCCAGACTCAGGTCTAGTATTTTCAATCTCTACTAAGTCTAGTGAATATTACATCTCAATTACAGATGATCCAATCTTAGAATGTAATTATAATTAATAAAATGAAACACCTGATTAACACCCAGACAGAAGTCATCAGGTTTAGGCATGAATTGTACTTTTGTAATTTATATTATTTGACTAAACCCAGGAATAAGTTTCACAATTTTTTTCAGTTTTTACTCTATTTTAGTATTTATAATTACTTAAATTCATTTCAAGTATGCTGCTTGGATTAGGAAATCCTTTGTTGGACATTTCTGTTAATACAGATGAGGCTTTTTTGTCTAAGTATGGCTTAGAGGCCAATAATGCCATCTTGGCTGAAGAGAAACACATGGAAATGTATGCTGAAATGGCCAAGATGTCTGGGGTAGAGTTTATTGCTGGAGGAGCCACTCAGAACTCCATGAGAGTTGCACAGGTAAATTAAATCAGATGATTTCTTTATTCAGTTGATTGAAGTAAAAGCTCCAAATTAGATTCAAACGTGAATAATTGAAGAATTAATGTGATAATATCTTGTTAAGTCATAATTTATGTATCTAATTTGTGATGCTGTGTAGAATCATAGTTTTCAATTAATACTTACTTAAGACAGTCTCGTTTAGAATTAATTGATATTTCAACAAAATTTAAGCTCAAGGAGGAAGAAAAGTTAATTCTATATATTGAATTATACATTTGATTTTAAGCTTTAAATAGTACTTGTTTTTGAAGTCCATGTCAATTATTTTGAGCTATCACTATCAGTAGTTTTAAGTTTTGCATGTTGTCTCATCTTAATTCTAATGTATTAACTTGTTCATGTGCAGTGGATCCTGGGGAAAGATAACATGACTACATTTTTTGGTTGTGTGGGCAAAGATGAGTACAGCAAAACACTCTTAGAAAGGGCAAATGCTGCTGGTGTGTGTGTCAAGTATCAGTTCCATGATTCTCAGCCAACTGGTGAGTTGATTACAATACAAGTTTAGTTTTGCTGAAGTCAACTTTGATTGAATTTCATTTTCTGCCATTACCCTCAGCCAAAACTTTTATAATGAATTATACTATCAGTAAAAATTTCTGCCTGGCAAGTAACAAATCATCATTTGCACTAATTACCTAATTTTTCACAGGCACGTGTGCTGTGGTGGTCACAAAGGGAGGCAAATGTCGGTCATTGGTGGCCAACTTGGCTGCTGCCAACCACTTCTCCAAGTCACATCTTGACATTCCTGAGAATAAAGCTCTCATTGAGAAGGCTAAATTCTACTACATCTCAGTTAGTCCCAGTAAATTAGTTCTAAATTTTAACTGCACCCTATTAAATTATTGTGAAGAATAGTAGCAACTGTGAATTTTTAGCCCCCTTGATGCTGCTTACTTTAACTTCAGTGAAATGTGTACATTTTTTGCTAGATGCAGCTCTCTTGACACTTTGACTGCAATTATGCTCACTGTACATTTTACCTGCAACAATTTTTTTTCTATGAAAACTATTTGTAATTCATAGTCAGAGTTTTTATGTTTTCAAAGTTCCTGTTTCATAAGATGTTTTAGGGGACATACTGGTATGTCAATAGCTCATCTGAAAAGTTTCTAAATAATTGTCTTGTTTTTGCAGGGCTTCTTCTTGACTGTTAGTCCTGAGTCCATCCTTGCCATTGGAGCGCATGCATTGGAACACAACAAAACATTCTGTATGAACCTCTCAGCCCCATTCCTGTGCGAGTTCTACAAGGAGCCAATGATGCAAGCATTCCCCTACATTGATATCATTTTCGGCAATGAAACGGTGTGTAAGGCTGTAAAATATAGTATTTGCCTCAAGGAATAAAATTATGATTGGCCTCTTATCTGAGAAACCAATCAATTTCGTGACTCTTACATTGTGTGTCCCAACAAACTTGTGGTGACTCTATTGTTGACTATTGCATTGTTCACAAGAATGTGGCTTTGATGTCAGGATTATTGCAATCTTCATAAAAATGAATCTTTCTCTTCCTGATTATAGCATTATTAATGAAAATATGGCCTGTCCATATTAGTGCATTGGTCATTGAAATGCCATTGTCCAGACTATTGCATAGTATATAAAAATGAGGCGCTTTGTTGGCTGAATTATTGCACCCCTATAAAATATAGGTGTGATGTGCAGGAAGCAGCCAAGTTCAACGAGGTGCAGGGCCTGGGGGCGACGTCTGTCACTGACATTGCGCTCAAGATCGCCGCGCTGCCCAAGCTTAACACGAAGCGCTCACGCGTCGTCATCATAACTCAGGGCGCTGATGCAGTCATCTCTGTTGTTGGTCTGTATTATTAAGGATATAAAATTTGTTCATCTTCTGATATTGTATTTAATGTGTGTATCTTTGATGCCCTCATCGATATACGTTAGTTGGTATCTACTTTTCCATCTATTGAAATTTGTTACTTATTTTGTTTTGTTCACTTCTAGAGCAGGGGGTAAGTCAATGGGTGGTGACAGAACAACTAACTGGCTAACAATGACAACCTGATCACTTTATGTCAATGAACTTCCTGGATTTAATGTGGTAAAACTGTGATGTTGAAAATGACTTTTTTGTTGCAAGATGGCGTGGCGCGCGAGCATCCCGTCCAGAGACTCACGGACGAGCAGCTCATCGACACCAACGGCGCAGGCGATGCCTTCGTTGGAGGTCAGACTTTTTAATGTTTCTCATCGCATTGCGGCGTTTTGAATGAAATTTTTTGTCCCCCGTCAATGCCACTAACGTCGCCACGTAACTCTAAGCCGCCGGCCTTCAATAGAACAATCTATTTTATCCTTTAATAGAAACAATCTATTTTATATACATATATGAACCACATCTTTCTAGGGAGATCTAAACAGCTTCGTAGTCATCATGTGGTCACCAAACCCTACCAATCGTAGTTCTGAATAGTATATGTATACAATAAATATATTATGGGGTTTTTTAGTGTCAAGGGGCAAGGCATGTGCGGTATCTGCTAAGCGGTGTGTTATATGTTATTGATGGTAGTATATTTTGTTATTTTCATCTTCAGATCAGTGCAATTTGACCAATATCAACCACGAATGTATGCATATATACCTATCCCACGTATTCTAATTACAACACTTCTCTTTATCTTCACTTCTTGTCTGTCTGCTACAAATCTTATAATCAATATTTAACACACTTCTACCTGTCCGGTCGATCTGAAATTTTGCACACTTGCATAAAGTCAGAGACAATGCATGAATCAGTTGACAGAATAAATAATTTTAAAAATTTACAAAATTTTTAAATATTGAAAAAAATTTGAAAATTAATTTTGTTCAATATTTGAAAATAAAACTAGAAATTCATTGTACATCAAAGACACTGGATTCTTTAAAAGTATTGTCTTTAGAAAGTATTTTTTAAACGCATATTTTTACATATAATTTTATACATATTACGCTAAAAACGTCGATATCATGATAATAATAAGAGCATTTGTTTAAAAAATTTTATCCGGGAAAAGTAACCCTTCAAATTTTAGTTAGTATTCCTAGCATACTTCATCCACATCGTCGCGATTACTCAGTGATGATAATGGCGTATTTTAGCACCAGATTTCCATGACGTTTGTATTCCAGGATACATGATGGAATCCTTATAGATCTTTATATCCGTAAAATTTGTATTCCAGCATGCCTGACGGACTTATTATAGAACTTTATATCTGTAACGTATGTATCCCAAGATAGCTGCTGGTGGACTTGATATACAACTTTATATCTTAATGAAACACGTAAGAATAATGACCAGTGAATGCATTATATTCCAATTTGCAAGGAATGGAGAGAAAAACTTTGTTGATACATTCGAAACGTCTATAGTATATTTTAAATCCCTGCTGAGATCTGCTTTTTGATCTGTTAACACCATCTGAAGAGTTTTGATTCCTTGCAAATTGGAATATACGTAATGATGCAGTCCTTATTCATACATGGTCCTTATTCATACATGTTTCAACTTTATATCTGTAATTTTTCCATAAGATACCTGGTTGACTTATTCGTGAACTTTGTCATATACCCGTAACATTTGCATTCCAGCATATCTGATGGACATATTCTAGGACTTCATATCCTACATCCATAATGTTTTCATTCCAGGATGCCTGATGGACTTAATATAGATATTTGTATCCTATATCCATAATGTTTGCATTCCAGGATACCTGATGGACTTAATATAGATATTCGTATCCTTTATCCATAATATTTGCATTCCAGGATACCTGGCCGAGTTGGTGAGCGGCAAGGGCGTGGAAGACTGCATCAAGTGCGGCATCTGGGCTGCAACTGAGATCATCCAGCGCTCTGGCTGCACCTTCCCTCAAGAACTCTCATACGCGTGCTGATATTAGCACCCGATGTTCTGTGGCGCTGACTTGACATCTTCCTGATAAATCAATTGTTGCTTCATCAGCCGCATTAATGTCTTAATTCCATATTTACAAATCTATTTGTCGACCTTTTTATCCTCCATATCTGTTTTTTTTAAGTCGTCTGCTTTGACCTCTATTTTTGCCTTATTTGTAAGTCGTAAATTTTGTTTCTCTATTTGTCCTTTACTTCGGGAGTCGTCTTGTTTCTTTACTCATTTTTGTTAAAGTTGAAAAGTTGTTGTTGTTTCCCTATTCGTTTTCAAGTTTATGAATCATCAATTTTTTCACATTTTTGCTTAATCTTGTCAGTAAAAACAAACATGAATATAAAAAACAATGCACTCAGATATACATCTAGGTTATTAATTAATGGATACATTTTTTGCTTGGAAGGAATCTCTTGCGGGTAATTGACGGTTATTAGCAAGTTCTGTCTATTGGTGGTCAACGTGTCTGAGCATCAGCATAACAGACTCTTGACGCCTTAATTCTGTTATCAGTTGAGCTTTGGAACTTATCATCATTGAGAGATTGTATAACTTGTGCTACTGATCACCTACATCTCACAGATCTGCTTTGCTGAAGACTGCTCAGGTACAAATGCAGCACTAGCAGCTGCTGCTGTTGGGGGTGCTTGTGATCCTAGTGCTATTAGTGCTCTTGGTGCTGCTCCTAGTGCTGCTGGTGCTGCTCCTAGTGCTGCTGGTGCTGCTCCTAGTGCTGCTGGTGCTGCTCCTAGTGCTGCTAGTGCTGCTCCGTAGTGCTGCTAGTGATGCTCCTAGTGCTGCTGGTGCTGCTCCTAGTGCTATTGGTGCTGCTCCTAGTGCTGCTAGTGATGCTCCTAGTGCTACTGGTGCTGCTCCGTAGTGCTGCTGGTGCTGCTCCTATTGCTACTGGTGCTGCTTCCTAGTGCGGCTAGTGCCACAGGGGCTGCTGCTGCTCCTAGTGCTGCTGGTGCTGCTCCTAGTGCTGCTAGTGCTACTGGTGCTGCTCCTAGTGCCATTGGTGCTGCTTATATTGTTGGTCACTGTAAATGTTAACCTTCACGCGGCCATGACATTACTTCTATAAGGAAATTATTTTTTCATATACCTACTCATTTTTTTAAATTGAGAACCTAGCTTCTTGCGTTTAGTGCCCTGAAATGAAATACCTGTTATGACCTTATGAATTAGTGATTTATTTTACAGCATCCATCGAAAAATTCCTCCTCAGGTCTTCTTAGGAATAGAAGTCAATAGCTTAGGTTCTGCATGGGGAATTCCTGATATATTTTTACTCGATTCAAATGATAAAGATGGACATATTTTTGTCAAGTTTTCTGTGTGGGACCAGGCCATCTGTAAGGCCTAAGGTGCGCGACTGTTGATGTTGTTATGATACCTGTTGTGTTGAATTTTTGCACTCTGAATAAAAAAGAACTAATTCCCTTGGTTATTATTGGTTGGACTCTCAAGTGTGATAGATTCGAAATTTTTCACATGTCGCTAATGAGTTGTTACCAGGTAGTCTTAATACAACTTAAAATATAACTACGGCATCTTCATAAGATGATTGGCTAAAACCCTCAGGGGGGACTTCTGACGCGTGTCTGTGCTCGTCAAAAGTCCTATGGTATCTCGCGCTCCTAGGGGGATTGTTCCTGAGCGCCCCACCGCTGAGCTCGCGGTGTCTGACTGCAGTTCTCAGTTGTAGGATCAAGTTATTATGTAGGTAGGATTCCTGACATTTCCCTTCTCTGTCTCTCTCGTGCGGGCGGCCGACGTCCCGTGTAAGCGTTCGAGTGTCTTAGTTTCTTTTGCTTTCCACCTGTCCCTCCTTGTCACTTCGTTCCTTTGAGATGCTAACGCTGCTTCTTTCGAGCCAGCTTCAGCGGGCTGAACAATTGAGACATTCCGCCCCTAGTGGGTGATGATCAATTTTTGATTTGAAAAACTTCAGATAACTGAGAGTCTGAGACCTTCCAGCTCTTTGGTGATGTTCATCTTGACTTTTGGTGCGAGATAGCTAATTAGCAGAAGCGCTAGTAAACATGTGGCCACTAAACTAACTAAACTAATAAACCAAATCGCTGCGTCTACTTCGAAAAGTTTCATCTTTTAAATTTGGATTAATTAAATAAAACGACTCACTGCTGAAAATACCGTTACGGAGCTGCTGTCCGAGATGAGGGCTCATACATGATAATAATTAATTCACTATTGCCCTTCATAGTGTCACCTATCGTCAGACTAAAAATTAACCTGTGCTGTTTACTGTTGCATTACATTAAATGTCATAAGACGAAGAGTTGAAAGCAACGTCTAGTCAGCCATTACCCAAACAATAGCTTTCACCGTACGTGGTTCATTGTATTTATAATTGTGGTAATTCATATAACATAATTGCTGCAAATTCGAAGCGAATGATTTAAGAGTGTTCAATTACAGGAAAGTCGAAGCTAGTAAACATTAAGTTACAGTTAATTACAGACTAACTCCTGCAAATGGTGACGTCAGAAACATTGGAGCTCTTTCTTTCCTCGGAGGTAAAATGGAAACCCCACAATATCGCGAACAATAGTCACCGAAAACCATGTATAGTGCCATTAAATAATTAGTAGGAGAAAAACATGAATATTGTCGAGTAGTGTCCGAGGCAGGCACCAAATGCCACCCGTACCCGATAGTGAAGCGTTAGCCATGCTCCACTGAACGAATAGCATTCACTTTCATGACGTCGAAATAGTTTTTATTCGTACGACATATGTTATTATATTTTATGCACATTTATTTTAAACAGTCGATGTGAGTCGAAGCTAATAGAGTTTTGAATCAAAGTGTTCGGTATTATTTTCTATAATTTTTTCGCGAACACAGCGTTAACGTAGGTACGTGTTGTTACGTTGGTACGTGTTGTTACGTAGGTACGAGTTGTTACGTAGGTACGAGTTGTTACGTAGGTATGCGTTGTTACGTAGTTACGTGTTGTTAGGTAGGTACGAGTTGTTACGTAGGTACGCGTTGTTACGTAGGTACGTGTTGTTAGGTAGGTACGAGTTGTTACGTAGGTACGTGTTGTTACGTAGGTACGTGTTGTTACGTAGGTACGAGTTGTTACGTAGGTATGTGTTGTTACGTAGGTACGTGTTGTTACGTAGGTACGTGTTGTTAGGTACGTACCGTACGTGTTTTTACGTAGGAACGTATCAAAAACTGTAACGTATTACTGATTACAGAACGCTGACCTGAAGCAATAAAAAAACCGACGCAGTCAGAGAGAGGGTATCGCGACCATTGACCAATACGTTTTACTCCCTGATTTATAATCCGACTACGAGCATCAGTGCTGCTCGAATTTACATTTGGAAATTTCTAATTATAAAAGTTCTCATTGCGTAAAATATACATGTATAGAAACACACTCACGGAGACGCATGGAGACAACTATAAACCCACATTGATTAAGAAATCTAAGTATAAAATAAAATAAAAATTCAAAGTGAGAATTTTTTTACCGAAAGATTGTGTAAAATAAATTTCGAGGGATCAACCCAAAGGTTATAAAATGCAAATTTCATCAAGGAAGTCTCTGGGAAGAACTTTGTTTCGGATTCGGATTAACTCCAAATGTCGTATCGTTCTGTCACTATAACGTAACTTACGTAAGTCCTTGACAGAGATCCCACGCTGGTTGGTACCTCTAAAGGCCCGTTTACACTAGGGGCAACACACGAGAATCAAGTGCCTCAAAGCGCATGCAGAGGCGCTTTGCAGCCTCTGCATGCGCTTCTTGACCGATTGACGAGCTAGCGATTGACAGGGGCCATGCCTCATGCAATTGGAGCTGGTCTCCGAAACGTTTTCTATAAAGATATGAATTTTTGTGGACTATTCTTTTCTTTTAAATTCTTAGTTAGTAGATAGATGTCTGTGGTCTAGTAAGGTTGATTGTGTACGCTGGTCCGGCACTCCAAATGTCGACTAAGCACCACTCTCGTTTGGAGTCACTCTCTAGTTGAGAGCCTAATTGATCTTTATAGAGAACATGAATGCCTATGAAGTGTTCGGTCAAAGGAGTCCAAAAATCGAAATACAAATGATGTAAGTTATTTTTACATGACGTGCTTAGTTTATGTGATTTTAGCAACTCCTGACAATTTATGCATTACCGTTTAGCGATTTCAAAGGATGATGTAATATCGGTACGAATATTGGAGCTTTTTATTATAGAATATACTTTAAGTCTTCAACGCAATTACAAAAAACATGAATAACGGAAGGGTAAATCAGGCCATACAAGATGCTTGCTCTGCACCAGACATGTCGAGGAATTTAATTCTGATTGATCTTCATCAAATGCAATACGGACAGTTCGGCCTATAACTTGCCGGTATCAGGGAAAGTAAGATATCAACAAGCCATGTTCCCCAACATCGCCCGTTGCTGAACTTCAAATGTTGGCTCGTCGAAGGGAAAGGAAACTGCACGAGAGTAAGTAAGATGATTTCAAAGACAGCGACAAGTATGAGTAACATCGGTCTACGAAAAGTATGAATGAGAGAAGGCTTATGTGCATACATTTAAATAAACTAATTTAGGTCAAAATTGTCGGATTGTTTCCGCATTGATTGGATTTGTATAGACAGTCAACCCCGTGTAGTTTTATCAATATAATTTTATTGTGATGACTACTGCTAAAACTGCTAATAGAGTAGGAGTTAAAAGTAAAATTTTTGGATGGAAGTTTTCTTGTATTGTTAATTTTTCTATTTTTCGACGTGAAAATATGGAAATCGACAGGCAAATTCATTGCATAATGTAGGTATTACTAATGGCGGGAATTGCACCAAAAATGACGTACTGAAGTAAACGGAAACAGAATGTAAAATTTTGTTGGCTTTGAACGATTCACCTCGCCCAAGTCCGAGCTTTAGTACAAAAAATTGAATGTTTTTTAAGAAATCACGTAAACAATTTTAGCGACTCCTCGTATACGAGAAGATTACAGATTTGTTTCCTCTATTTTGTATGAAATTTCTCTGCTTTGAAATACATTATTGATAGCTTGTTGATAATTCAATGTTCTTTGTTTAAAAAAATACAGTCAATAAAGTAATTATTCGCTATAAATATATGAAGTAAATGCACAAATAAGCTGTAGATGATTAACGGTGAGGTTGAAAATATAAACTATCACTTTCTGTTCACGACTGAGCTCGTCATCGAACAGTTGCGAACCATGCATGCATTTACTGCCGCACATTCTGCACCGGAGTTATGTGCTTCACAATGTCTTGTGTCGGAATTTTTTGTATAAACGAGATAAATGATTTCTCCCGAGGCCAGTCGATTCCTGTATACCTTTAAGAAAACTCACAGAGAAGTCCACTTTCTCCGCAGTTATTCTTCTAGATTAAATGGAAACGAAATTAAATAATGGATAAAATAATAATAACGGATGAAATTAAATAAGTATATTACTGTTCAAAGGTATAATTTCTGTTAACCAGTAGATCAGATGATTATAATTATTAGCATTTCCGGAAAATTAAAATTATATTGATAATGACTAATTTTTCTCCAGTTTAATGCGTGTTTCTTGTACCTTCTATAGAAAAGCCACGCTAATAAAGCTACACGGTGAAGAACGGTGAATGCTAAGCACTTCGTTATTGGTCCCAAGTAACAAACAAATCCTTCTTGCAGATAAATGTAGACTATTGAGTACAAAGTTAAGATATTCAAATAAATCAGCAAAATCTTATGTAATCGTAAAAGTTGAAACGAACTTCTTGATCCCGTTTCAAACCATCAATCCCGTGATTGATTCAGGTGAATTCAATCCGGAAAACCAATCAAAAATTTAATTTGGTGGAAAGTCCTCTGTGAAGGAAAAATTAATACATCAAACTAAAATTCCTCGGCAATTATTATTGGAAATTGAACTTAAACCTATTTAACAGTCGACCGGACGGTCACGATATCACAGACTGCGTTCAGTGAAAATGCAGTCAAAAATCATTTGCGAAATAGCCATTCATTGCATTGATTTTTTGCAACGGCAGATGTTGGAAAGTGGCTTCTGAAAATCAGAACAGACTTTATAACAAAACGTTATAAATTATCAAATGTTGTACTCATTACCAAATGTTACACTCAGTACTACATGTGCCGACTTGCGTTCTATTGATGCCACTGAATGCATTTTTGTTGCGCCTAAACCATAACGTTGTGTGATTGAAATTGGTCAAATTTTGAAAAGTTTTAAACATGCTAAGAATGCATAGAAGTTTGTTTCAATACTCGGAATATCATGGAGATAAATGTTTGGATAACATTTCCACCATAATCCAAACATTCTCTCGTCTTGCAAATTTTGCAATAAAGGAGAAAAGCTAACAAGATTATATATCCAACCACAGCAACAGCAGCAAAAAGTTAAAGTTATTTTACTATAAAGAACGAAGAATTGTTCGAAAAAAATAATCTTGACATGCAAACTATTTACTAATAAAATTTATTGGAACGAAACAATTGATCTATACATGTATTACATTGTTATTTTACGTTCTAAATTGCCTTTATATTGAATTCAGAGGGGCAACGAAGTTGTGTAACTTTGAAAGTTTAACGCTACGATGTTGCCACAAGTTTTCGTAAAGGTTACGTTTTTCCATAGAGCGGAAGATGCCGATACGGAGATAAAAACAGGTCAGCACAGCTGTTAATAAGTTGTCTATGGGAATTAGTTGATTCAACTTTGATATCAGTAGTAATGCATGTGCAATGGTTTAATATGATTTTAATCGCACGTTAGTTAAAAATTTCTTTAATTTCAAACAATACTTTTTATACATCTTTTGAGCACACCCTATAGGTGGAAATATAGTGATGTTGTTGTAATGCAAATAAACTATTTAATTTTTGTAGCATATACTGGATTTATTCAGATCTAGAATTCGAATCGTGGATATCAAATTTAATTCATGTTCTGTCATTGCAGAAAATTTTCTCTTACATTTATTTAGTAAATAGCACGAATGAATATAAGTATCGTACATACAGAGAAAAATTCATATTTAGTTGTTTTTAAATTCCTTTATGCCAGATGATCAAACTTCCATTAAGATTTCACGAGAAGCGAGCATTGGTTTTAGATTTTGCACGTGTTTTTGCCATTAACTGATGAAACATAGAATTGAAGCATCCAAAAACAAACTAATTACCAAAACAATTGGGTGTCAGCTGACACATTGACACACACGCTCTATTTCTGTATTGTTTTTTATATTTAAATTCCAGTATTGACACAACATTTTCGATTTGACGTCACAATTTAAAGAGCGTCAAGTAATTAAATTATTATTTTTTCTCCGACAACTCGTTAATAACGATCAATACTTTTTGATCGAACAAAACTTGGAATGTCCAGCGAACCGAACAGGCACTCGATACTCTTAGATATTACACATTCTTCTAATATTTGTAGCATTTGCATGTATTATTTGACTGTAAATAAGAACTTGCAGCCAAAACACGCCGTGCCCTAGGCCGCATATAAATAGCGAAGCATCGAGACCCCGAAACCCAGTACTGTTAGCTACGCGTAACCGTAAGCATGTCTCTGCCGGTGAGTAGAAGTGCGATGGATATATGTGGGTATGGTTAACCCATTAAAGAGCGTGGTCAGCTCTGCGGTGAAAAATTTAATAGTAATGTTGTGTCAAGCGATGGTTTGTTGTGTGAAAATATGGTAGTTATTTCAATACAATTTTCAGATTACGAATAATACTTATCACCAATTGCCGCAGTTCCATTCATAATTCGGCTGATAAATTTGCGCTAGGAAGTTTTCAGTCTTCGGCTAATCCAGCTTATCGTTTAGAATTCGAGGCGAAATGTTTTGTTATGAAAGATAAACCAGATGGAAAGTAGAGCTCCTCGAGAACGTGAAACAATGCCAAAGAGTGATAAATATGTCTATTTAACCTCAAGTTCCCAAAATATTTGCTTTATATAGAACTACGATTATTTGTACGTTTTTCAGGTAGCTTTTGTGAAAGGATAATTCGAAAGTGGATTTCAATTCCAATTGAGCATTTTAAAGTGGCTCAAATGACCGCGCAGAGTAATTAAAGCAACAATTTTGAATTACAAACCTTAAATATAAGCGCTAATTCTATATGATGAGCTTCTACATGGTTGGAATGAATATTGCAATATTATGTTTTTTTTTCATGGAATACTGATCTTTTAATGACTGGCAGCGTTATTGCAATTCTTATTCATATTATAACTAAAATTTCATCACTTCAGAAAGAAATACGAATAAACTAACAAGTCAAAAATACGATAAATACAGAGTATAAACTTCGGAATAATCGAACAAATGATTTTTACGAACCTATGTAGATCGTCGAACGGAATGTTAAACATCAGCGTATTTCACTGCAAAGACTACTAATGCTTATGTTATGCCACATAAATCACAAAGACCACTTTTGGTAGCAATTCAGTTAAATTAATATTATTACATAAAAATATTTGTTTTTGTCTCTCAAAACGACATATTTGAGCGACCGTCCTTGCATGGCCAATGATGTAATGGTCGACCCACAATATAAAGAAAGTGAAACTATTCTGGCTGGGAAAAAATGACTTGTCTCCGCTGGTCAGTCGCTTAGCAGCAAAAAAATCAAGGTGCAGAGAAAGTGAAGCCAAAATCTGGCGCGAACAAGTGAAAGGAAAATGGGGGACAAGGTTTAGAAAGTTTCTGACCGATGAATAGATTAACTGATGTCGATGTGTCTCCTCGAAATAGACACTAGCTTCAAAACTTGAATAACGAGTTAAGATTGATATATCAAAGCCTACATAAAGTCGCCATTACATCTGAATTTTCGAGAGCTATGATTGACGTCAAAAAATTTCCTTTTTAAGTATGGCTGACTGCAAACCAGGATTCCTGTTTAACATTTCCGTATGGCAACCATTAAAAAATACAATATGCCCAGGCGATTAATCAAAGTGTATAGTTTAAAAAAATTAGTGATTTTATACTCGGACTTTGCTGTCCAACGAATAAGTGTATGTCACAGTTTCTGCGCACTTGATTTTTTAATCTTAAGCATATTATTTCAGAATGAATTTTAATTTAATGTTAGATGTTGATAAGGCCGTGGTAGATGAACTTTTAATGATTTGAGATGATTGTTGATAATCAAATAAGGCATTATCTTTCCGTATATTTCCATAAAAAACAAAACCTTGTTTTCAGATGAGCGTATTGGTGCTGGGTCTGTGCCTAGCCACAGTCGCATCGGACGTCTCATTTGCAGGCCTCAACTCCCTCTACTCGCCCCCCTCTATCAACACTGCCGGCTACCGGTGCGGGGACGGTTTCGTACGCAAGATCGACGGCAGTTGCGTCAGACCAATCATTAAGAAGAGTATATTCCTCTTCGATGCACCTAAATTTAAGGTGAAGTACCAGCCACCTCCCCGTATCCCTGCTCCTGCTATCGACTACAACTACGTGTTCATCAAGGCTCCTGACCCGGTGACAGCACCTCAAGCCGTCGTCGTGCCACCACCGCAGCAGAAGACTCTGGTCTACGTTTTGAATAAGCAGTTGGGACAACAGCAACAGGAGGTCATTGAGGTTCCGTCTGAGGTATCAGCACCCGAGGTATACTTCATTAATTACAATGAGGGTGAGAACCCCACCTTACCAGGTGGGATTGACCTGCAAACAGCACTTAGCCAATCAGCGCATGCTGGTCACATCGTTGGCCAAAGTGGAGGAGAAAATTTGGCCAGCAGTGGAATACATTTGGGAGGTACTGGCAGTATCGTCCATTCGAGTTCCAGTCATGGTTTTGGAGGAGGAAGTATTGATCTAAGCGGTAGTACAGTTCTAAACGAAAATTCATTCGATTTTAGTGGCAGCAATGGTTTTGGAGGAAATGCTGTCGACTTCGGAAGTGTTGTAGGCTCCGGAGGAAGTCTAGTCAGCCTAGGCGGAAGTGCAGGATTTGGTGGAAGCCTTCTCACTACAGGGGGGAGCTCTGGAGTGACTTTTAATCAAGGCTTAGACCTTGGAGGCCTAGGTGGAAGTGACTCACTCTCAAGCTTCGATGACAGTTTAAGTTCATCTTACGGTGTACCACCGAGCACTTCGAATTTACTTTCACTAGGTCTGAGTACCGCATACGGACCTCCTCCTTTACCCCTCGAGAACGCTGGCACAAGCCTTTTCGTCAAAGATGTTTCCGCATCCAGCTCGAAGGTTTAATATAATTTTAAATGTGTAATTAATAATAGAGTTGGTTATGCGTAGTTTGTATTGTTGTTAGATAAATAATGTCTTCAGCGTTACCCTTCATTGCGCGATTAGGTTAGGAAGCATTTTGCACACGCATGTGCATCTCCCTTGTACCTGAAGAAGCGACGACCAAATTACTTTTGAAGTTAGTGTAAATAATTACATTATCCCCTCATGTTAATCCAACCACAATTCGTGCACAAAATTATGCGATATCCGAGTTTCATATTGCAATAATTTCTCAATATGTTGAGAATGTGTGCATGAGTGACGTGTTCAAATGTGCCGTAATAGTGAGTTAGTATAGTGACCGATGCTCTCGAATTACACTTCACCTGTAATACTGAGATTTATCAAAATAAACTTGTTGTGCATAATAGTATAATTGCTTAATTTTCTCGAATTAAATTTCGTATTTTAATAAGGTTTCTCGCAATTATGGATTGACGAGAAGAATCTAGAACCGCGATACAGAAAAGATCTAATTGAAAGGCAGAAGAATATTAATTTATGAAGAAAGATCAAGTCAAACGAATTCGCCTTCAAAGAATCACCCAAAACGAATAAAAAAAAAACAATATTTTCTGGTGTGGGTAGTGAGCATATTATCTTCAATACAGAAACCTGATGAGATATTACGTTGATTATACCTTCTGTATTAGTAACCTCAATACATGAATAGTACACTTGCCTGAAAATGGTGAACAAATTGGTTTCAAAGTGGGCTACAGTGTAGGAAACTTAGCCTAGACTGTATCACAAATCGATGTCAGAACAGGCAAAAGCAATGCGTGTAATGACTGCGTTTTAAAGATTGTATACCACGTAGGTTCAACTCTCACGCATCAATAAATTCACAATATAATGGAGCAACTCATTCTGAGACACCTCTGAACTGTAGAATTAGATTGCTACGAGAATGCAACACTTTTTAGAAGATACGAATGATGTTGACGTCAGAATTCTTCCGCTAAAAAGGGTAAAATAAGACCCCCGCTAAAAACTTCTGTGAATGTTACTCACTTTACAATACATCGCAATTCAGTCATCCGTATTGACATCAGCACATAATGCATCCAATATTCTCGACACACTCAACACTGATGAAGATCTTTCAACACTCATGGCTTGATGAATGATGGCGTCTTAAGTCTTCTTTAGGTAGGCTTCTGCTAGAAAATATTCTTAAGCCTCCCCTGACAATTTTATGTTTATTTATTAAGGCAACAATATATATTTTTCTAATAACAATGCTCATAACTTCAATATAATATAGCCTGAATAAAAGTAGAAAAAATATCGATACAGTCAGTCAATCAGTCATTATTAACATAACATAACAGAGTGATGCCGGCGCTAAAGAGTAGGCCTGCATGTGGCCTGTCGCCGAATCGTGAACTTTTCGTGACTTGTTCACAGAAGTTCTAAACCGTGTCATTTGACCGGATATTTTCAGGACTGAAGATAGTTTGAAATAGCTACTAGACTTCCACCGGGTTCGATATAGTGCTAGGCAATAAAATTCTCAAATCTGAAGATATATTTTTCCATAGCTTTATCTAGTCTGTTCTTGAACGCGTTCATACTCGGAGCGCCAACGATGTAATCATGGAGGCTGTTCCACATGTCGGTGACTCGAAGCGAGAAGGAATGTTGTCGCGTGGAGAAGTTGCAGCGCAGTTATTTTAGTTTATAGTCGTGGCCCCTGGTGTTGGTTCTTGTTTCAAATTAACTTGAATTTAATCATAAATCTTTTGTGCTTAGCCGCCACTATCTTCAAAACCTTGGAGCTTAGCTCCTCCAGTCCACCGAATCGACACTTCAGCGGACTCGGCTGCGGACTGGCCTTCGGACTGGAATCAAAACCTAACTTGACGTTCAACTCAACCAGCCATAAATCCGTCAATAGTGCACGGGTTTTATTCAAATTTGAAATATAAGTAGATAATATCAGTAATTTGTGGAAGGAATTTTTTTCAGATTTTTACATAAATAACTTTTTTATTAATACGGAAAACCTAACTTCATTTTCAACTCGATCACACATAAACTGGCGTGTACAGCGAAGTGTTCTTGGAGATTTCTAGCCGCTTTATCAAGCCAATGTGCGAGGCCAAAGTTTATTTCATTAATCATTTCTGTTGAAATTCAAAGTGTTGTTAAGCAAGTAACTTTATGCTGCACATTAAAGTTACGATTCAGTTCTCAGTCTTTCCAGCATGTGTAAATGAAAATCAAGCAAATATATATTTCTACTGATATCACCTGATTATTTCAGCAGTACTGGCTGACGTCGAGTCGTTTTCTGTTGCACATCGTACACGAATCCAATAGAAAACCAGATTTTTCATAGGTAACTTCAATAAATGAATCAATAGAATTTATTCATGCCATGCTATTTTTGTATACAAATGGTACAATTACGAAATTTGGATTATGACTGATTATTTATTACTATTTGAAACTAAATAATTCAAACTTCTATTCTGCGCGTTGTAAACCTTGAAGGCTTCATAGGATTTTAATAGCGTGGAGAATTTGCTGAAAATTAGACGTCTGTTTTCCGTACGTCCGATCATTGTCGATTAGGCTCCACTACAGCGACTGCCATGTATAGACAAGCAATTGTTTACCACCGTACGTACGCTGTGACTTGACCGAGTAGTGAGATCTTATTGCTGCACGGCACCAGCAGCAGTATCATAGTTGCGCAACACTAAATGATAAATTTATTAGAATTTTTTGTTCCTATTTCATATATCTCCTTTTTATTCGAAAATAACGACATTAATTTTACATGAATACTAATGAATGCGTGCTAATTGTTATAGCGTGCTTATAGTATTTGTGTTTTAAATGAATTATTAGCGGCAGTCACTGATGCACTATGGTTAATAAATAGCAGGGAAATGTACAGAATATTATGTTAACTCGATTTATGAATTAATTTATCCTCGGTTCAGCCGGGTATTTCTCAGCATAAGAGTTTTAAATACCGAGTTTTAAAATTCTAGTTTCCTTTTTCAAATCGTATTTCCTCTTTTTGTTAAAGGGATATATAGGTCTGCCCTCCAAATTTTTAACTAATTTCAAAAATTTTTTCCAACTAATTGACTGATCTTTCTGAAACTTCGTACACATATGTAAAGCACCAATACAAGAACATTTTGTTCCTATGAGATGAAAGAAGACGTGAAAATTAATTTTTTAATTCACGAGCTACAACATCGAGATATATATCATTATATTCGTAATGCAAAATCTACTGACTCTTGAGGGCATTGTACATGTTGAACAATGTTCATTTTACATATATCTGAAACTGCCTCAGGCATAGTTGTTTGGTTTGTTGCGTTCGACTCGCCTTTTCTGCAGCTACAAAATGAGATCAAAAAACGAAAAAGGCGAAATTTTCGGGTGGATAGCTAGAGGTCAGCATAGCCCAAGTCCACAGTGCGATTCATATATCTTCCCGAGCGTAACGCAACCGGGCATCTTCACGGCTTTTGTCACAAAGCGCCCACCACAACAGCGCTGTTGTGGCCGGAGCGCATACAGGCCGGAGCACAACCGGCCGGGGCGCAACAGGCCCGGCCGCAACAACTACTCCTAACGTAACCTAACCTAACCTAACCTAACCTGTGCCGCCTGTTGCGGTAGGGAATGTTGCGCTCCGGCCAGTTGTGTTCCGGCGCTGTGAAGTAGTGGCTGTGTTGTGCAAAGCGGATTTACTGTTAGCCGGAGTTACCCACAGCTCATTGATCTGAGGCTATGTGTAGATATATTGCATGCTGATGGTTGGCGTTGGGCCCAGAGCCTGTTTACGAGTCAATTTTGTTGCACACGGCTGCGCTCCCAAATTTTCAGAACTTTCAGACAACCCCAAATAATTACTTTAAATTAATAATTGTTAATCAAAATATAATCAAACCAATATTTGACAACGTCCTCTTATATAAGTTTTGTTTTACACTTGAATCGATTTTTAGTGGATTAAACTAATCCACAAAAACTAAATGATTCTGGTGAATTTAGAATTAATTTGAGCGTCAATTCAATAATCCAGTCATTGTTCGCGATTCCAAATTATTCTGATACCAAAAATAAAATATCAAGTCCTGGTAATATCCCGGCCGTTCTCGAACAGCTAAAAGTTTACAATGTCAGTATGCAAATCGACCTCCTCTGCAACACTACCAGCGGCGAGAAGCAAGCAACAGCATCGTGCATCAGGTGACCCAGATGAGGGCGGATGAACGATAAACAGAGGCGGCGATCCATCGTGGCCTGGGACTGCTACGTCAGAAACAAGTACCAAGGATACCATTAATAATTAGTAGCAGTGACTAGTAATCAGTAAAAACTAAGGTGCCGAAGTTTTTTTTTTTTTTGAGATAATCTCACACGCATAGATATATTGGGAATACTCCTGATTTTTATTTCATACTTCCGAATTTCAGCTACTCAACGAAATGTTTTTCCATTCTTATGAAATGAAGTATAAAACCCAGGGACCTACGCCATAAATTACGGATCGTCACGGACCATCGCTCTCGTCGCTGAAAGTTACGCTCTCGACCAACCCCTAACCTTCACGGGAAAGTTGCGTCCAGTCTCGTTCTCAGTTCCTCCATTTCCACCCTGGCTCTGAGGACTTGGACCTGAAAAAATTCCAGGAGTCTCCAAGTCTGTAGGTCGTAATCACCTTTAATGAGGCATGTGTTGTGAACAATTTGAACTCGATGGAAGTGTTAGGAATATGCCATAGATTTGATGGGTGTGTTCTGAATAATTTAGGCTTGATGAAAATATTCTGAATGCTTTTGACTGATTGATTTCTGTATGCTTTTGAGTGATTGATTGAGTCGACCAGCGAACATATTGCAAGTTTGCTGACGTTTTTGCAATAGAAGTTTGTTGTTTGCTACGTTACATTTTTGTGAGGCGATAATCCAAATACCATCTAAAATAAAAATGCGGCGTAAAGCTGTTGATAATAGCCATACATGCATGTGCTTCTATAAACCTATAAACTTTTTCCTCCAGTAGGAAACAAGCCTGAATTTTCCACCATACACTATGTCAAGTTTATTATATAATTCACCGCCATCACATATAAATAAATTCACCGCCATCAATTCAATTCATGTACCGGGAGGCAATGTGACGAAAGTTACAGTCAATATAAAAAAAGCTAATATCTTTAATATTCATGCCAATATTCCAGACGAAATGTGTCTCAAACATTTCAGGTTTACAGATTACGGTGCTCGAACAGAGTACAAATATTGATCATTCGCGAGCGAAGTGTCAAGTGATTTGTTTCACACTCGCTTGCTATCCAGCAATGGCCTATGCTAAAAATGAAAACTTTCACTACTGACATAGCAAACTGACAGCAACAAAGCTGACGGGAGGGACCGACAATTGCAGGATGGCTGAGTCAACGACATTGCTTGCACAATACAAGGTATAAAAACCTGGCCCACGAAGCTGCTGTTGCCGCCCAGTATTTTCATAAGCGAGCCGAGCATCAGAGAGGCAAAGAAGAAATTCATCATATAAGGAAGCTTCCTTAGATATGATCCTTTATTATGAGATTTGATTCGAGATTTAGTTCAAGATGTAATAGTATAAATGTTATGATGTGAGAAATGAACCACATCTAGGATTACGGATTTAAATCATGCAAATTGCAGATTAAAATTTCATGAATGTCATCTAAAATAAATGAAAAAATGCAAAATTTGTGAATTCATCCCCAGAATTTGAACAAATAGTTTTACTCTTAAATTCAAAATTGGGTGTATCAAAATCTCGGGATGTTTAAAAAATTTGAAGCTTCCGGCACATTTCATTAAAATAATTTCAAAGTTTGCAAAACAAAGCTGTAAAAGTGTTATCGTTACTCAAGTTTACGTGGTTAACTGTTACACAGTTTTAAAAAAAAGTTTTCAACGAAGTACATTCTCCGTTATATTTGGTCTTGCGTTATAAAGGCTCCTGCCTTCTCTGCCGCATGCAACGCTCGAGCAGCTGCGCCCTGAACTGGAAAATTTGCTCGCTCGTCGACTTTTTGCAATCGCGTTTTCCGATTTAAAACCAAAATTCAAGTTAATTCAAGTTTTCAGCAATGACATTATTACATTACGTTTATTTTACTGTATAGTGCTTTACGATAAGTAAGCAATAGCTTTAGTAATATTTATAATAATGTAAATAAATTTCATGAATCTCTTGTCTAAGTCATAAATACTGAAATAAATTGGAACCGTACACTCATAAAAACGAATAGGTCATTTTGTCCAAATACTGACTCGCTTTCATAGCCACAGCACAAGCAGAAGGTGGACGTAGCACTGATACACTTATTCACCGTGCCATACAGGGCTAAGTTGACCAAAATAAAGGCAAAAAGTGCATCGAAATTCGGATTAAGGTTGACTTATTTTCTTGAGAGTTGTGAAGGCATTACAGAATAAAGCTTTACGATGCAAGTTTCTTCAGTGTTGTGAGGGACTCTTTGGCAGGTCTTGATAATACGAGCATTGTTCAGCCTGTGCATATAATACTCATCATGCACAGTGCAACATCATGCGCGGTGCAACATCATGCGCGGTGCAACATCATGCGCGGTGCAACAGCATGCGCGGTGCAACATCATGCGCGGTGCAACATCATGCGCGGTGCAACATCATGGGCGGTGTAACATCATGCGCGGTGCACCATCATGCGCAGTGCAACATCATGCGCGGTGCAACATCATGAGCGGTGCACCATCATGCGCAGTGCAACATCATGCGCAGTGCAACATCATGAGCGGTGCAACATCATGCGCGGTGCAACATCATGCGCGCTGCAACATCATGCGCGATGCAACATCATGCGCGGTGTAACATCGTCCACAGGTCGTCTATAACTATAGTTTTTGCAATAAATGAAACTAATAAAAAATGCATTTAAATAATAAATAATATTTGAGAATTGAATTAATGAATCCTCCGTCTTCATGAAGCTGATCAAAAGAAACATGAGCATTTCTTTCGGTCGACAAAAATTCTAAGCCGACCACAAATTTGAAAGAATGAATGATTTTACAGTTATGAAAAGCACAACACAATATTCGCGGCAATCCAAAATAAAAATTCCGTCGGGAGTAACGATCAAACAGTTTTTAACGTTTTATCTACAGACTTTTCTACCGCTACTACGACTTCAGATAAGAATTGAATTACACTGACGACTATTCTCTGTTGCACAGAGAAAAATGAACGGGTCATATTATCAAAATATTTATTCACTTACTAACTTACTAATACACAACATAAATTGATACTTCCATTAATGAAATACATTGGCATTTAGGCCCAAATATTATTAGACTCTATTTTTAGCGCATTTTCTCATTTATGAAAAAAGACGCTATTGTGCTCGTCATGTCCGCCTGTCCGTTCGTCTGTCTGTCCGTCCGTCTGTTCGTTCATCTGTCCGTCCGTCCGTCCGTCTGTCCGTTCGTCTGTCCGTCCGTCTGTCCGTCCGTCTGTCCGTTTGTCTGTCCGTCCGTCTGTCCGTTCGTCTGTCCGTCCGTCTGTCCGTCCATCTGTCCGTTCGTCTGTCCGTCCGTCTGTCCGTTTGTCTGTCCGTTCGTCTGTCCGTCCGTCTGTCCGTCCATCTGTCCGTTCGTCTGTCCGTCCGTCTGTCCGTTTGTCTGTCCGTTCGTCTGTCCATCCGTCGGTCCGTCCATCTGTCCGTCCGTCATGCCTGTCCGTCCGTCTGTCCGTCCGTCTATCCGTCTGTCCGTCTGTCTGTCCGTCCGTCTGTCCGTCTGTCCGTCTGTCCGTTCGTCTGTCCGCGACCTCAATTGTTTTCGTCGACGAGAAATTGCGCTCTCTATCACTCACTGCAGTGAGTATTGCGTTACATTTTCTGTACTTGTTCTGCATTAATTGCTCTGCGTACAGCACTCAGTAAATGTATGGAACATTTTCAAATATTGACATATTTTCTTACCACATTACGAGCAATGAGCGGACAAAGACACACTCATTTCTCAGAGTGAAGGGTAAAATAGATGTGAAGGAGAAATGTCGCTATTCAGCCGTGGAATAGACGACTTGGCTAGTCACGAGTTCAGAAATTTGAACACATACGACAAATTTGAACGCATTTTTGTATATTGTGTATAACTAAGTTAAGTGAATGTGCATAGGAATGCAACTGAAATGCAATAAATTTAATCGAGCTTGAAATTTAAATTAGAAACAGGGTAGAAATGTTCAGTAGTGAACTACGAAAAGTAAAAAAAATCGGAATACATAGAATCTAAGTGGCAATGTGTGGAAAAAATTATGTTTAAAAGGCTGTAAAATTGCAAATGAATGAAAAAAATAACGCTAAAAAGGTTTAAATTTAAACGAGAAAAAATATTGTTCCTTTAAATTCCAAATGCTGTTTGAATTATTTAGTGTAATAATTGTTGGGTAACATAAGTTACATTTCATTGTGTATTTTCACAATTTAATACTGTAACTCGACGGTAACTTTCACGAAGGTAATTAGCCTGCCTTCCTTATGTTGAAATGAATTGTGCACACACATTGTATATTTATACACATTTAGTGTAAGATCAAAGAAGGATATAATTAAAATTTGTTTCCAACATGAACCGAGTCGTTGGCGTTATCATTCTTACAAAATTTAGCTTCAGAAAAGCCATTATCAAGAGATCTAAAAATTCTAACTTAATAATAAAAAGCAATTAGACTTACATAGCTGGCATCGGCAGCAAAATTTTACACTTAAAATTTAAATGACGGAAATGTTCAGTGTGTTAAACTTATAAATAATTTATTGAATAAAAGTTTAAACGAACATCGATTTAAGAGTAACTATTCAATACTTTCTCATAACTGTAAATGTTTCACCACTGTCTCAAAATACAAATTAAAATTTCGTGTTAAAGTCCTTCGCGTTAAAATTTGTTATATCTAATCAATTTTACGGTGCATGTTCGTTTTAACATCATGTTTCTACAAAACATTTGTCAGATATATAGTATAGAAAGGTTTACATGATACATGAAGAGACGTAAGAAGAAAAGGCACAATCCCAACAGCCTTATTGATACAGTGTATAATAGGTAAGGTATTCATGAAGGTAATTAATAAACATGTTTGTTATGGAATAATTCATTGTACGAAGCAGAATTAAAGAATGCATTCACCTCCAGTACCGTAAGTGACATTATTCGCTTTATACACGTCGTCTGATGAATCCATGTCATAGGAGCAGGCGGGGCAGGTCTGCTGACGAGGTATATAAAGAGACCCGCGTGGTCGTCGCGGGTCATTGCTCGTGTCGAGCTCATAGCGACGGGTGTGACGTGTCTGCGAACCTTCCTCGAGATGCGTGCTTTTGTTGTGGTGAGAGGATAAGGTGGAGGTTGATGTTTGGTTTTTACAATGTATTTTTGTGGCGATTGTGCTCTTCAAGGATCGTTTTTAACACGCATTTAATAATAAGATTGACGTGACAGGAAGTAAATATTATTTTTAGTGACGGTATACTATCGCACAGGTTTTTAAAATCAAGATACTTTCATATTATTATTTAATACATTTACGCACAGTTATTGGTTACAAAATTGAGCATTGAACTTCACTCGCAAGGTCAATTAATTAGTCTGCAATCGTTTTGTGCACGATCAATCAGTTTGTTTACATATACTCACAATTCTTCTCCAATTATAATACCTCGACCCAAAAGGATTTACCGACTTATGTCATATTACATCACTGAAACGTGAATTGTATCTACAGCAATTAAACTTGATGTAACCATAGCAAAAATAAATAACTTTTCAATAATTCTTGAAAACTACTGGTGTTCCAGAAATTGGAGTTCATATTTTTGTGTTTGCACTCGTGAATGTGTCACGCTGATTGATTCAAACTGCTTAGAATTTTCAAAACCTAACTAAGGTTAATATTAAATTCGTAGTTTTATTGCTTTGATATTGATTTTTAATTTTTGTTTAAAGGATTTTTATCGATGAAAACAATACACAAATATATTTAAAATACTGTGCGCAATTATTCCCAAGATATGCTAGACAAAGTCTTTGGTCCCTCCCAGAAAAATCCGTCACTTCCTCGCAGTTTGTTAAACTAAAACACACATGATTTCAATCATTAAAATTTGAAGATAACCAGTGTTCTATAAATTATAATAAAAATTATGAAATAATATATTTTTCGATATTTCTGTCTGTTGTTCGTCATTTCGGCTAAAATAACGTACTTTAATAGCGCAAAGCATTTAAAAATTTAATTATTAAATTCTCTAAGCTACCTAATTTGCAGTCTCAAATTAATCCAATTAGCTAACCTCCGGGAATGATTAGTTAATTGTAATGTCTCAACTTGAACGCAACATCTGCGGTTACACGAAGCATTTAACGCCACGGACGACGCGGTGTTGATGCTCGGTCGATTAGCTCTTAATAATTGAGCTAAAAATTCCAATCTTAACTCGGTGGTGGCGCTAGAAAGTTCAAAGATCAGATGAGATTATACATGATTATAAATGACATAATTGATCCAAATACTTTAACCTCAATCGCACCATGTGTTAAATATTATTTGTGAGGCAATGATTAGATGGTAAATTAAGACGCTCTGATATCTTATTGCGATTATTTCAGCTAAATAATTCAGCCACCCCTGCAGGTGGTGTCTCGGTTGACTCTGATTGCTTCATTTTGTAATATTATTTCATTTCTTGCACTATTATGAATTTATTATGTAACACTACGTCCTGGAGAAATACAAATCGTGCTACGCATATGTACCTACCACTTCAGAGTCAACGTGTTAAACTACAAATAAATTAACTCTTGCGATTCCGCTGAGCGCGAGAAAAGTTTTAGTTACGACAGGTATAGCCTTGTTCCGGTGCAGCGTCTTGCATCTTGAGGGAAAGTGCCGCTATACCAGCGCCTTTACCGCGCTGCGTGCTGCTCGCGTCGGTCAAGCCGAGCTCAATGAAAGTAGCGCGAGGAGGCTGGGTCGAGCCAGCCTCTTGACATTCTGCAGGTCACATTAAATTTTTTGGGAGCGGTGGCTTGACATTGGAGATTCCACGACACATACACCTGGCAACGATTCATCTTGCAACATACGTCTGACTATAGGTTGCGTCAAAATGCATCTGACAGCCATGCACATGTAGAAATTCCGCAAGCCTTAAACAAAATGCGAGAGAGAGTGCAAGATAAATCTGAAGCTGTCAGTTTTAAGTTTTGGTCTGTTTTCTACTGGTCTATTTCAAATTTTCTTCAGGTAAGCTTGGCAATTACAAACGTCATTTGAATTCCTGTAATAACCTGGGGTTTGAAAAAAAATATTTCCAGTGTCATTTCTAAACCAGCTTTGCAGAAGAGAGGTGAAATGCTAATAACTTTTCCTCCATGTTTTGTTGAAGCCAAAATAAATAATCAAGTCACTTCTGCCCAGTCATTCTGGCCTGGCAAGCGTGCCTGTGGCTGGTTGAAGACACGGTTGAAGACACGATTGTCGTCTCGGTATTTGGACTAAGAAAGCGTGTCTCTTAAAGGCGGGTTGGAGGCAGGCAAGTATGACTAAGAGATTCCTCGGTATGACTAAGAGATTCCACAGCGCACCCAAATCGCTGTAATTTTTTATTCGGTGGCTATAAAAACACAGAAACGAATGGAATGAATGAGGCTGAGGGAAAGGGTTTAGCGTACAACTGGGCAAAGAAACACTAGCCCTTTCCATTGGCGCGCTCCACATAGTGGCCTGTACTTGGTGCTATTTTAAAAGTTCGAATTACGGAGTGCAACAACATCGCCATGCAGACGAATTTTTATTCCGCGTTTTTTCTCCTTTCTGAAAAAATGTTACTTTCTCAAAATTTAATCGATTGTCCCCAAAAAATCATACCTGCGTTTTTGTTTCGGTAAGCCTCTCGAACAAAATAAAAAAACAGAATATCAAAGCACGTATTGAAAAACTTCATTAGCCTAGTCCAACAGCTTTAGTCGTCCTGAATTTGCAACGAAAATTATTGATGCATTTTAATGTAAGTTATCAAAACCTCTTGCTTACACACACTTCATAGTTAGTTTGGGGCCTTTATACAAGACAAACATTCAAGATGGATAAGGCATCAGTGGAGATGAAAGGGTAGAGGGGTAACTCTTTTGCCAGATATTTGCATACGAATAACATCAGCGACATAGTGTTTCTGGGGTGAATAATATTTAAGTAGATAAAGGGTTCAGCGGACAATGCACGCCAAAGAAGAGCAGTGAACTTTCATACGCATGTTAATGAGGCTTTGAAACAACCGATGCTGAAAATGAGCAGCGGAAGTCCGTACATATGTGTTAAATAACGTAACGCTAGATTTCGTCGAACGATTGAAATAATAAAAAAAGGAATCTTCGGTAAAATTTGGGCTAATAACGGCTTAAATAACTGAGGACGAATAATCTCTGCATGACTATTTCTGATAAAATTTTTGCGGCAAAGAATATTTCGATCGTTGATAAGCCAAAAAGTCCTGAAAAAATTTTTTTATTGTGTCGAATATTTCGATCTATTATAGGCTAAAAAATTCTGAGAAAATTTTTGCTGTGTCGAATATTTCGATCTTTGTTATGCTAAGAAGTTCCGAGAAAATTTTTGCTGTGTCGAATATTTCGATCTTTGTTAGGCTAAGAAGTTCCGAGAAAATTTTTGCAGTATCGAATATTTCGATCTTTGTTAGGCTAATACATAATTGAAGCATTCAGCTTATTTTCTAATTGTTTAAGCTTTCATTACATAATTGAAGCATTTAGGTTATCTCATAATTAGCTAAAACTTACATTACATAATCAAGCTGAGGTCATTTGAAATTCCATAATTACTGAGTCGTTCACTGTATTGTGAAAGTTGCTTGTCATGCCTATGCGCCTGCAGCACGACAAGTCTACGCGTGTTTCGTAACTCGCAGGCCAGCGGCCACAAGGCGTTGCCCGCAACCCTCTGTCAAAAGTGGGAGCAATGACGCGTTATTTTCTTGTCTGATAGAAGCCGTCCATGCAATTTTGGACAATAGTGAAAGGTCGAGAGAAATGAGATAAGAACTAAGCTTTCCTACGAAGTAGATGTTTTTAAAAATTATCAATAGTGTAACAATTTGTCATTGGTATTTCAGCGATCAAATGGTTCTGCATTAATGCAATTGTGTAACTTCAAGCAGTTATACCTGTGAAGAAGGAACTATTTACTTTGACAGAGTTCAATTGTTGAATCTGCTATTCCAGTTTGCAAGCAATTGCTTATCCTCGTCAAGATTGAAAACTTTACTTTGTTTTACATTAACTTTCTGCAACATTTAAAGTGCTCATATGATGACACAGTAAATAGTACAAGTCAACTCAAGCTTGTCGTTAATAGAGACAAATCTGAGAGTTTGCCTTCTACTGCAGCTCATAGACGATCACGTCAACAAAAACTTGCATTTTAAGTTCCAGTCTCAGTTCATCTCGGCCCTTAGGGCATAATTTGCAAAGCTTGATAAGAAACTTTCACTGAAGAGGATTCAAGATACAGGGGGAAAACGTCGGAAACTATTTGTCCTGGCCTTAAACCAGAGAAACCATCATTCCGTACAGTTCAGGGCCTAGAAGACCAATAAACAGTCAATACTTTAATTTCAGACTAATAAAAAGCTAATAACAGAGCTGGGCAGCGCTACTTGAAAATGTGGCGGGGCTACCGCTACCGCTACATGCTCTAAATGTAGCGGGCGCTACCGCTACCGCTACACCCACTAGATTGTAACGGGCGCTACCGCTACCGCTACAGTAAAATATTGCGCGCTACATTAGCCGCTACAATGGCCAAAATTATTGGAAATCTCTAAATATTTATTGTTCTACTATTGGGATTTACTCATTAACATTTAATGATAATAAAACATTTTTAAAACATATCAATGCAACTTTATTGCAATTAACCTAACCGAACTAGTATGGGTTACCCCAGGGTATGATACAGTAAATAGAAGTTACAGTTATTTTTTTGTTTTACCTTCCCTACATGGATGTGAACTTTAATCTACCAATCTAAGAAATTATCCACATATACATATAAAAATCAGTCTTTTTTGTATATATATGTGGATTATTTTTGAGATTGGTAGATTGAAGTAGACATCCATGTAGGGAAGGTGAAACATAAAAATAATAATAATAATAATAATGAAACATAATGTAAGCAAACTGAAAGAAGAAAAAAACCTGAGTGGTAACTGGTAACAACTTAACAAGTAACAACTAACATGTCGACACTAGTAGCAGGCTGAGGTTGACAACATTACACCGAAGTCTTTCGTACAGTTTTATTCTGTAATTTATATTATGTATGTATCATGCTGGTTTTTAAATAATATTTAATACTATTAAGGGGACCGGCTAACCTAAAAATAGGAAATTTTGGCTTTACCGTTTTCTTGACTCATTTTGTAGCTGCTGAAAAGGCGCGTCTAACGCAGTTTACCGCATGTCTGTGTATGTGTACCAAGTTTCAAAACGGTCCGTCTGTAAACAAAAAAGTTTTGTTGGAGGGTAGCCGGTCCCCTTAAGTAAAATCTAAAGGCTTTATCTATAAATGTAGCGGTAGCGCTGTAGCGGCAAAACCTCGTATGGCTACTTAAATGTAGAGCCGCTACCGCTACCGCTACTGAAAATGTAGCGGCCGCTACATGTAGCGCGCTACTGCCAACCTCTGGCTAATAAGTAGTTGGGGATAAGCCTCAGATTACCAGTAGTCGAACTCTCTAAGTTAGTGACGTATCGCTTGATCCCCTTTATATTTGCTGTATATATAGTAAATAATTGAATTCGAAATGTGATCCAGACTCCTGGCAAGAATTAATCAAAATAAGAATAAATAGAAGATAATACTAATCGGATTATTAAAATATGCTCAAACTAAACTTTACGGGTCGTTATATATAAATCATTATAATATATATGTACCATGTAAATGAGAAAACAGATAGACAAGGACAAAATATAGGTAAATCTTAAATAACTCCTCAGGAATTTACACAACTTGCAAGTTTTAGGTAGGCTATCGGACGGTAATGTAAATTTTTAAGCCTTTTTTTATTTAACATACAAATATCTTTTAATAAAAAAATTATCAGCATAGAAGCGAGGAAATTAATTATAAATGGTTGCTTACCACATAAAATTCGAAATGAAGTAATTTGAATGAGGCTTCATTTTAGTATTTTTGGCACCTCAATTTCGTCGATACTATGCAAGGTCGAATTTTTTTTCATACAATTTAGATCACATTTACAGAGTAAAATATTTTCATGCTTAGAATATTTGTGTAATAAGAGATTTGTTCAATATAATAAGATATTGTTCCATGTTTAAATCTCACACGTGTTGAAATATCATCTAGAAAGATGTTAAAGTAAAAATATGTTATATAAAAATATATATGGGATGCATAGAAAAAACATGTTTACTTGAATTAAGCACAAATTTTTGCGTTTACGCTGATAATTGCACTGGTCACTGGCTTGCCGAAAGACATTTTTCAAATCGTCAACCGTAATAGACCATACATCAACGATAGGCTAGGAACAGTTAAACAGTTGATAAACATTAATAATTCTTTCATCTGCCACCATGACAAATAGTAATGGTTGCCGAATAATATTGAAATTTTTAATTTATGGAAACTGAACAATGAAATATTTTTCAGATACCCCTGCTGGTGGCGATGGTTCAGACAAGTCCTCAACGCTACCATCCGTCGACCAAAGTCATCGCTCGGTCCCAGGGCGCCCACTTGGCTTCCTCGAGCTCGTGTGGTCACCGCCTGGCGAGGAGGGTGGACGGCAAATGCGTGGTTCCCAAAGTATCGAAAGACGTCTACTTGTTTAAGGCCCCAAGACACCAAACACCCATAATAAAACCGCCTAAATACATCCCCAGGCCAAAGGTACACTACAATTTTGTGTTCGTAAAGACACCAGACGCAGTGGCCGGTCCTAAGCCAGTGATCGTACCTCCTCCGAAGCAGAAGACTCTTGTGTACTTATTGAGCCAGAAGCCCAGCGCTGTAGACCAAGACATCATCGAAGTTCCTCATCAGCCATCACCCCCAGAGGTGTTCTTCGTCCAGTACGAAGATGGAGACAACACGCTTTTGCCGGGAGGTATTGACCTGCAGACAGCTTTAGGCCAGTCTGCCGGAGCGGGAGTCAAAACCAACGATGTTTCCTCCGGCATCGGAAATAATGTGGGTTTTATAGGAAGTTCTCTTGTCGGGGATTTGAACGCGGCATTTGCATCTGGATTCGGTGAAGATTTCGGAGCTGGATTTTCGAATTCAGGCTTCGGAGATTCAAGGGGCTACTTGGGCAGCGGCGTATCGGGAGGTTTTGGTTCTGGATTTTCGAGGTCAAAGTTGTCTTCAAAGCGAAGTTCGAAAGGATAATCTTATTGATAGTTTGCTTATGCTAAGTTGTTATTGTAATTCATGTCTTTTTCGTTTATTGCTGTTTAAGTAAGGTATCATTCTGGGGCAAAGCGTGTCTGGAACATTTTTTCAATGAAGAGGATTTATTTAAGTGTTAATTTAGTCGAGTCATCACGTTATAATGTTCCTTGCGTTCCATAACCGTGATGAAATGTCGGCTTTAGCTCCACATAATATTGCAACACTCAAAATGTGGTAAGATTGAAGCTGAAATACTTGCTTGAGGTTGAATAGCGTCTTAGAATTTATAGCGTTACTTGTTATCATCAAACTCTTTGCATACCTTCAAATACATTTACAAAGGCCACATACGTTCTATCACAAACTTCTTGTGTAGGTATACAATATCGAATATTTCCGATGTCATTTTGCGATGCTCGATGTTAATCTTTTTTTTGTACAACTTTGTGTGTTATTTCCGTGCTTCGAATACCTGCAGCAGCTGTGGGAAAATGTTTCCACTTTGTCAATAAAAAAACTGAAGGTTGAAAGATTTCGGAACATCCCAAAGTACAATTGAATAATAATAGACATAAATACAAATTTTTCTAATCCCCTTCATTGTTACACGTTTATTTTATGATGCAAGATCATTAATTTGAAATTATTAACACAAAATAATAAAATATTGTGCAAATGACTTTCCTCAAATATCTGAATATTTATTATTATTATTCAGTTATTTTCTAATATTATATTATATTCATATTTTTTATATTACTATTCACTTATATACTAAAATTACTGAAAGACGTATAATGTAGGTCATAAATATTTATGCAGTTTTGGGAAAAAGAATAGTAATTGAAAATATAATTTTGTAGTCACTATAATTTCATACTTGCGTCAGAAAATAACTTATTTTGAAAATCAAACAACTCAACGCAACTAAATTCGCGTTGCAATTTTCATTGCAGTGCTATTGATTTAATTTTTCAAGTAGGTGAGCAGGTCCTAAGTAGGTTAGTCCTTATTGATACCAGGGATTTTTCTTACTCATTCTTGTTATAAGGAAAATACATCTCCCGCTTGATTTAACATGAAAATGAATGAATGATATAATAAAAAATTTTCACGGTCGCCCGTGTGATCGGATGCAATGTCAACTCTTCATAATGGTGACCCGTGTGGCTAAACTTGAATGATTCAGGATCATCTTATCATTAAATTATTACATAAAGCTCGAAAGCTTTTAAAAAAAATTTGCTGAAAAATTATGTATCAAAATGGCATAAATGAACACTTAGGAGAGAAGAAACTTGTTAGGGTACAAAATTCCTTGCCATAAGTCCTGATATGAAATAAAACCCATCATTTTAAATTGTTGAAATTTAACTGAACGTGGCACTTGCATGAGAGATTGAAAATGATTTTCATGCGCAAGAAATTTTCTGCAAATATACATAATATTTTCTAAAAATTAGTTCAAATTTCACAATTGTCAGGGTATCCCTTAAAACTTGCTCACTTTTCAAAGAAAATGTGCTGAAACTTTTTTATTAGTTGCGAAATCAGTGCCTCATGTGGATAACCTCATAACCACTCGAAAAATAACCATTTTGGCGCACATAATTTATGTTAGCATATATCATGTTTCTGTTGTTAGGCATGATGTCTTCAATATACACTATATATATAGCTTATTGTGTCCAGTTATGTGATGTTTCTACTGGAAAATTCAAATACGAAGTTTTTAACTAAGCGAAAGCTTATGCTTTGGATTGATGTTAGCGTGCAGGTAAGATAGTTAACCGTTGCACCACATATAGGTTGCAAAGTAACATATATATAAAGTAACATATAGGTTGCAAAGTAACATATATATAAAGTAACATATAGGTTGCAAAGTAAAAAAGTAAGATCTTCATCCCATCATGGAGTGCCGTAGAAGTTTGAACATTTAGGTAACATGAGGCAGCGGGCCCCCCTTTTTTTTAACTAAATTTTTGATGAAGTGGTGGTTCCTTGTTTTGTTTAAAGGTACAACTAATGAGGAATGTATGACGTGAATTAGACGCCTATAGAGTTATTCAATTTTTAATGTAACACTATTTTGTAAAAAGTGTCAAAATGGGCCCATTGCCCCACCCCTAGGGCAATGGGCCCATGGGCTTGGGGCAAGGCGCCCACCCTTGGTCCCTTTACCACAATTGCATATTTTTCGTTTAAAAATGATAAAAGAACACTTTACAGTAAAAAAATGTAATAAAAAATAAGACATTCATTCATTTATTAACAACTCAAAAAATCCTTCCTTAACTTGAAAAAATATACTCGTGACTTAAAAAATCTATCACTGACGTAAAGAAAAATATTTCATTGACATAAAAATATACATCCATGACATGAAAAATATATCCTTGCGATAAAAAATTCATCCTTTTCATGAAAAAATGTATCCTTGACTATAAAAAATATATTTAGTTAATCAGAAAAAAAAACTTCGTTCCAGTTTCGTCCATAATCCAGATATTATGTGCAGGGAATTCGTACTTAATCGTGATTTCAGCCAACACCATAAAAACTCATCAACTTTTGGCTCATTGGTGTTGGCTGAAATCAACTTTTGGCAAGGCAAGAGTCAATAACTCGACAAGGGGTCATAAATACGCATAACTAGGAATTAAACCTGCTGCCTTGAGGCGGCAAATCAAAAAAATCATGCAATATGAAGTGTAATTTGTAATTCAAAAAGCTAGTCATAGTTTTGAAAAGGTCATTGACACAAATCTAATGATGTATAACACATGACTTCACCATGGGCGCTTTGCCCCGTGACACGCGTGGGCTCGTTGCCCCACTAGGTATCATTTCAATTTATATCGTGTCAACATTTTATTTAAAAAGCTAATAGTCTAAACTTGATCTAAAAATTATCCCTATAAATATTACTTTCAATATATAATTCACAGTAATTTCAAAAGCTTCATCTGCAGTAATTGAAAACAGTTTTATTCAGCAACAAAAAAAATTTTATCTGGGCTAAAACAGTTATTCACAAATAACTTAACAACGCAAACTCTAAGCAAAACGTAAATCCGTACACCTCATCCCAGTGAAACTGTCGACCGGCGGTAGAGAACACGGACCAGTATCTGCCATACTTAGCGAGAAACCCGCTATGGGCCCATGACCCGCAGTGGTCCCTTTGCCCCATGTTACCTTAATGTTTTCTGTTATGACATATCGTTAAAATTCATTGGACCAATCGTCACCAGTACAGCTTTGCACAGCAGCAAAACACCAAGCTCTGAAATTGCAACGATAAGATGGTTCTAAAAACGGTTGAGCTGGAGACCTTTACCATAAATTTCAGTCATTTGAACGTATATACCGTGTAATAATTAGCTGCTTTGATCATGTAGTTATAGAACATTGCTTAAAAATTTTGTTTCCTCATTGGCACCCACACATGAGGTGAAGACTTTTGATGTGGGGATACTAACTCATTTATACAGTGGGGGGAAATAAATATTCGTACACTTGAAAAATCGTATTTTAATGTATGTAAGTACACAAACTTAACAGGAAAAGTGATTTAAATTATGTATAGAGACGCATAGTATTCAAAAATGCTATCAAAATAAATTAAATCTCAATGCAACAAAAAACAATGCAACATGTTCACTTTTCGGGTGAAAAAAGTATTCGTACAAAACACTAAATCCGCATTATTTTAATTTAATACTTGGTTGAATACCCTTTATTCAGCTCAACAGATACCAGTCTATTTCTATACGTCTCGACCAATGATTTGCAGATGCTGACTTGTATTTTATACCATTCTTCTTGGCACACCACCTTATTTCAACCAAGTATTAAATTAAAATAATGCGGATTTAGTGTTTTGTACGAATACTTTTTTCACCCGAAAAGTGAACATGTTGCATTGTTTTTTGTTGCATTGAGATTTAATTTCTTTTGATAGTATTTTTGAATACTATGCGTCTCTATACATAATTTAAATCACTTTTCCTGTTAAGTTTGTGTACTTACATACATTAAAATACGATTTTTCAAGTGTACGAATATTTATTTCCCCCCACTGTATAATTAATTTGACGCAAATTCTATGACATTTGAAAATCAAATTTCTTTCAAAATTCGAAGGTTTGGAAGCGTGAAAGGCACATGAGATGCGGAAGATCGGAAAGCCAGCCTTGTTCGGTCTCCAGATGGCTTGGGGACCGAAAACTATAATTCGATAAGACCGATCCGTGTTTAGACCTTCTCTTAGAAGTATATAATAATTCTGATGACACCAAATCCCTGACACACAAACACTAATAGTTCAATGCAGACATCGCGGTCTTTTTGTCATCTTTAAAACCGACACGACATTTACTTCTCTCTAAAAAGGCGATCTTGGACAATTGACAGGAAAAATTCTCTTAAAATGAGTGGGCGATGACGAGAGCGAGTAACCTTCAACTGGACATGTTTGGCAGAGTTGAAGCTACATTGTTCAACTATATTTAGAAAACAGATCCCTCTGGTTGTACAATTAACATCCTCAATTCCTGCTATTTTGGGAAGTATGAAACACAAAGAAAAAACTTAAATTGATTTAGAAATTTCGATACATTTCATACCATGTATGCTGACATTTACATCCCTTTTAATATCCTCAGCCATCTGTTTTATCCACTTCTATTTTCCAGGTTACCTGAGATAAGCAGTTATAGCGAGAAATTTTTTGTAATTACTTGCTCCATCTCAAATCGAAACAACGGTCAAAGCGAGTTTTCTCTTACACTAATTTTACATTTATTGGTATTTAAATTTGAAAAATATCATCAATGTTCTAGCATCAGTTTTTGGCATCAGTTGTAGAGCAATTTTCAACTTAAACGCAAAATTTTTAGTACCATCCTGATTTGTTAATCGAATTGACCTTTGCGGCTACCAAATACGGACTTGATTCTTGACGAGTTTTCTCTCTATCCCATAAACGACGTCCGTTCGAGATATCGTTAATATGTCAAGGAACATTCTTCAGTTTCACCCTGAACTGCCAATTATAAGCTGAAGTTTTTTGTGATAACCGATACCAGTTTTTTTTAAAGTAGGACTTGGTAAAAGATTTTTTGTGTTTGCTTTGGTTCAGTGGAGTGTACATACATGATATTGCCGGCATTTCTGTAAAATATGATACTAACAGCATTTAACGAGTGAAAATACCGATGAAGTATTAAATAAATATATTCGCAACTTTAAAGGAATATTAAAAGGTAAAGACAAATCAAACAAATAGTAAAGAATCATAAATAACTTTATTCGCACGCAGTCGTTATGGATTTCGAAATTTTGTTGACAAACAGAGAACATGACTGGAAAGATAGGCTAAATGCGAGAGGAAAAAATAAGTTATAAAAGGCATAAAGAAATAGATTACTGGTATCCTCCTCTTCTGCCATTTTCTCGGCTTTCATCGGATCCATGTCCGAATCCACCACCGAATCCACCATCACCGCCGATAACTTGTCCCTGGGCCGCGGACTGGCTGAGGGCGGTCTGGAGGTCGATGCCTCCGGGGAGTTGAGGGTTGTCTCCGTCATTGTAGTTGACGAAGTAGACCTCAGGTTGGGTGGGGGTCGAGGGAACCTCAATAACCTCTTGTCCAACGGCACCAGGGCGCTGGCTCAGCAGGTACACGAGGGTCTTCTGTTGGGGAGGTGGCACGACAACGGGGCGGGGTCCGGGCTGGACTGCCGGGGTGCGCACGAACACGTAGTTGAAGTGCACCTTGGGGTCAGGCAGAATAGGAGGAGGTCCGTATGTCACCGTCTGGGCAGGGGCGTTGTAGAGGTACAGGTTCCTGGTGATGATGGGCTGGGCGCAAGAACCGTCGGCTCTGCGGACGAGGCCGTCGTGGCAGGCGGGGGCTCCGTAGTTCAGTGCAGGAGCGGGAGCTGGGGCCCGGTAGCTCGGGGCGGAGTCGGACAGCGCCGACGCGGCGAGAAGGACAATTGCCTGAGGGCAGAGAAAATAATTAATTATAACATAACATAACATAGTGATCTCGGCGCTGCAGTGTAGGCCTGATGTGGCCTGTCGCCGATTCTTTTCCTTTTCGTGCCTTGTTCACAGAAGATCTAAAAATCGTGTCATTTGACCGGATATTTTCAGGACTGCCGATATAGTATGAAGTAGCTACTAGACTTCCACCGGGTTCGGTATGGTACTAGGCATTTCAAGTCTGAACATATAATTTTCCATAGCTTTATCTAGTCTGTTCTTGAACGCGTTCATTTTAAACTGGAAATATTTTAACCGCAACATCACTTGTTGGTGGAAATGATCATTCAAGTATAACTGCCTGAGGGCAAAGAAAAAGAATTAATTATCATTTTAAACTGGAAATATATAAACCGCAACATTACTCGATGGTGGAAATGATCATTCATGTATTACTGGAAATAACCATTTAGGTTATAGGATGACAAGATAAGAGGTATTTTGATTCCATCATCAGTATAGAATAAACATAAAAAATTTACCTCCGTGTAAGTAAATTGGTATTATCATGCAAACTTAATGACATTTTCAAGCGAAGATTACCTTAATCACTTCGCAAAAATGAGCTTAATTTACAAGCTTACATCCATCAGCTATATACCGCAAAAAACCTGCATTTTTTATTTTTGAAGTCAATAACATTTTTTTCGGGCTTGGGCTTTGACCTCTAAACAAATGGCGTAGGATTCCCCCGATCTGATAGCAAACATTTAAACCTCGCGAATCATTTACTCTACAATGAAGTTGTCGTTGAAATGAGAGTTGTAACATGAGTATAACTTACGAGAAGATGTTTAAACAATACTGGAACGATGACCAAGCGAAAGGAAATTCAGCAAGAGGAATGTTAACAATGTCAATATCAACACACTAATAAGGAAGTTGCACTATCCGGTGAAAGTTAACTCAAGGTTCACTGGACATTATTTAACGATTCGTGAAATGTCAAACTCAATTGGAAGAGATCAAATCGACGTGGTGATCAGACATTGATGAAACACTTAAAACATAAATAGAGAATAAATAATACAAGTTTAAAAATTACTTTTTAAAGACAACACTTTTAAAGAATCCAGTATCTCCAATCTTCCAGATGTACAATGAATTTCTCATCTAATTTTCGAAAATTAAAAAAATTTACTTCTCAATTTTTTTAATATATATATTTTTTTAATACATAAATTTTGTTCAAAATTATTTATTCTGTTGATTGATTCATGCATTGCCTCTGATTTCACACAAGTGTGCAAAATTTCAGACCAATTAGTCACGTAAAAGTGTGTCAAATATCAGTTATAAGATTTGTAGCTGACAAAATTCTTTTTTTTTAAATTTTTTAATATTGAAAAAAAAAAATTTTTACTTTTCAAAATCATTTATTTTGACATTTGATTCATGCATTGTCTCCAACTTTAAACAAGTATGCAAAATTTCAGATCGATAGGATAAGTAGAAGTGTGTTAAATTTCGATTACAAGATTTGTAGCAGACAGACAGACAGACAAACAAGAAGTGAAGTTAAAGAGAAGTGTTGTAACAAAATAAATAAGCGGTTTCCACTCTTGAACGCGACATACAAAGAGCGAATCCAGCAGGAAATGCGATCAGTAACTAGTAAATTAATGTAAACGTTGATAGTGACCAAGTGAAATATGCTTGCTTTTGTTTGGATACTTATCTATAAAAATTACTATACTGATGCACGGCGCATCTTTTTCTGCACATATTAATACCGAGAAATTGCACGCTGTGCAATAAATGCACACCGATACATTGCATACTAGAATATGAACTACATGAATATTGATGAATGCGATTGTTGAATACTGATGTATGCAATACACTCATGCAATTACATCGAATTCAAGATGAAATAAATTTTACCTGCTTTGGTATAAGTTGAGCAAAGGTAAACTACTTCAACGCGCATCAAAAGAGAACAGGAAGCGATAGGATGGTAAGCGTGGATATCTGCAGTGTATCATGAAATTAAGTCCGAAGCTTTGTGATTGTTCAGGTAGAAATTTCGTTAAATATAAATAAGCAGTTTAAAGTTTCTGCAGACCAAAATAATATGCATATAGGATAAAATTTTTTAGATGCCTACATGGTACAATTTTGTCTCGTTTATTCCTTCTTATATGAACGTTAAAGAAAATTTCATCTAACATACATAGTTTTATGAACAAGTATAAAATTCTCTTTAGTGAGTCACAGACAAGGTTTGCTCCATTTATCAGCTAACAGGAGAATGTATTTCTTGATTTTAGTCTAAAAGTTTCAGCCCAAGGAAAATGCTGTTGTTCTTTTGGACGCTGTCTGGATAATAACAGAATTCTTGTTAGAACTTTACAGTGGTTGTATAAAACCCCCGTACCCACAGAATTCCTCCAACTTTACAGCGGGTTGAATAAAGCCTCTATGCCCATAGAAAGTTCTCAGATTTTACAGCGGGTTGATAAAACCTCTATGCCCACAGAAATTCCTCCAACTTTACAACGGGTTGAATAAAACCTTTATGCCCACAGAAATTTCTCCGGCTTTACAGCGGATCGAATAGAATCTAAGTGACCACAAAAATTTCTCCGATCGAAGACATAGAGAAAATCGAGAAGCTGATGGATTGACTCACCAGTGCTCGGTACATGTTGGAGGACCGTTGACTTAGAAGTGTGCAGAAGGTTACCAGGTCGACGCCTTTATACGCGACCTGCACGAGTTTTTATGTCGTCCGTACGCGCCTTTTGCAGAGGTCGGGTGATGGGGCGCAGTTCGCTGCTGTGGGTACGAGGGGCGCTGATGGTGCCGGCCTTGCGTAGCGCCCTTGGGCACCTTGGGACAAGTGGGGGACTTATTTAAAAACTTGGAAAATAGTTCACCAGCAATAAGTTAGAGTGAAAATGGAATCAAAATGCAAGTAACATAAAAAAGTGGAGGCATTATTTAATTAAATGAAATTGGGTCAATGATTGATTATATGAAGAAAATTTGCCAGTTTTCTCTGTGAGAAAATTTATCAATGACAATTTATCAATTTATCAATCATCAATTTATTAACATTCTATCAATGTAGAAGTACTTATGGTGTGATTCATCAAAGAGATGATAGATAGCAATGACATTGTTTTAGAAAAACGTTCGTCAGGAACCGCAATCTCACGGACAAAATCTATCACTTAATGTGAAATGTTGAAAGATAATTTGGTACTCCAAACAAAAGTGAAAACATTCGAACCTGATGTTCTAATAAGAAAATAATCAGAATTTTAATCTTGGATTGAATACTACATTACTTTTTACGTTAAAGGGAACCTTATTTTAAAGTGAGTTGTCATAAAACAACTTCAAATTATAATACGTTGAAACCTGCAGTCGGAAAACCTCTTCCGTTACTAACTTTAAGTTATAATACTTTGAAATGAAAAGTCATAAAACTTTTAGAAAGAAAACTATAGATAAGCATTAGCTTTGATCTGATATACTTGATTAATAGTATTACTGAAATGGTGAATCGCAGGATAATAACAGTTAATGTAAATGTGAACTTTTATTTGGGGCAAACTCGTGTTTGATTTTTCTAAAAATGTTATAAAACTTTCAAAAGAAGTGAAAAATCTTGGAAAATATTTTTTGAATTTTACAACTTCACAAATTCAAATAAATTTGCATTTTGTAATTCTACACTTATGTGGAACCTATTGATACAAAAAGTGTCCCTTATGAGAAACACAATTAGGGAACTTTAGGTGGATAACTTTACTTTTAAAAATTTTGAGTAAAATCTTGTTTGATAATTTACATGAATATATGATTCGAAGCTACATCTATTTTTCGGAAAAAAGTTTGACTAAATAGTAATTTTGAAATATTGTTACAGTTATTCAAAAAGAAGAAAAATAATAGAAGACAAAAGGTTATATTGCTATGCCTTTATATTAGGATATTAAGAGTGAATTTTTGTCTACAAAAGTTGGAGCGGCGTTCTATATTTATGTAAAATGTATAAAATTACATAAATGATAAATCGGTTAATCGTAAGCAGTCGACGTGATAGAAATAAGCATCATGAATGTGAGAACACGTAATTTGTTATAAAATGCCTTCAGAATCAACGGTACTTTATAAATTGATGACATGTTTTTTTAAATCTTTCGAAATTTTGGAAATCACAAACGAAGAAAGTTTTCTAGTGTAAGCAAGCGAATTGAAATGAATGTGGTTGCTATGCAATTTGAAGCGGATCGGTATGCTTTCAATAGCTTCTTCTGATGGTAAATAATGTGGTAAATATCGGTAACCGAATCAGTAATAAAAGAATTGAATTTAATTACGCAAAACAATTTGGTGGTAAAACTATATCAAGAAGAGGAACATGAATGCTTGAGATTCTACCGTTCATTAAGTTTTAATTTAAACTATATTCATTCTGGAAATTAGAATAACTGCCTTTGCCCAAGCAGCAGGTAGCATTGCAGGTACTGCAGCGTTATGAGACTTAATATTTAATAGATTTAGATAAAAATAAGCATGGGGTGCACTGCCGACGAATCTAATTTAATCTTATTGATATGATAATAGCATGGTGATAATAAACATTTTGAGAGATCAATATTTAGTGCTGAGAATAATGTTTACTCCCCACTGTACACATTACTTAGATGTTAACAGTGCACTTTACTCATTATTTATATATATAGGGTCACTTTACTTTTCACATTAGTTAGATGTGTACACTCGTCTGCGCACATTAGATTCCATATATTAGGTCACTCAAAGTTTCGTTCCAGTTGCTTCTGAACAAAAAGAAGCGCTATCTTTTGTCACATACACAATCATCCGAATAAAACAAAAATGTGTTGAACATCGTTTTTGTCACCAGAATGCAATGCAAGTCTTTTGAAACGCGTTCTTCAAAAAAGTTGGTTTTGGGTCACCATTTCTTGCGCATAACCTTGTCACCCGCTTCGTCACGTGGAAAACTGAAAGTTTGAAAAATAACCAAATAACTTTGCGAATTGGATACATGGTGAAAAAAACTGTTATGGACGTAGCTCTCTGCACTGAAATATATTGAAAAATAACCAAATAACTTAGCGAATTGGATACATGGTGAAAAAAACTGTTATAGACGTAGCTCTCTAAATTGAAAGTTTGAAAAATAACTAAATATTTTAGCGAATTGTATACATGGTGAAAAAACTGTTATAGGCGTAGCTCTCCGAACTGAAATTCATTGTAAACTTCGGTTCTATGAGCTGGTAAGTGGAGAGCAAGAATGTTGACGATAACTTCTAAATAAATTTAATTATTTTACCTTTATTTTGTGAATCAACCTGCTGTCAATTATGTTGTCAGCATCTTGCTTTACCTGCTTGACTTTATCATAAACATTCCCAATGATTTCGTTGCTACAAAACCGATATCATCTAATTAAATCCGTTAAATTAATCAAATTAAATAAGCTTTAAATCTTTCAAATAGATTGAAATATTAAAAAAAATTCAAATTTCTAGCAAAACTTTGGGGCCATTTGATTCATGACAGGACGCTAGAAAACAACAAAGCATCGTTAAAATGAAATGTATGCAGTTACTTATTTATTAGTAATCACGTAATTAATTTCCGTTCAACCAAACACAGAGACAATGCTATTACCGAGGCTCAGTCTGGCGGCTCAAGTTGGGTAGAAAATGCCGGTTTGGAAAACGTGTGGGCTTTCTTCAATGTCAAAAATTGAATGTTTATTGTTCCGGTCGCAAGGTCTACGTTTTGAACTCGTCGGCATTCTTCTTAAATTTAAACGAACTTGCCGTGCGTTCGCTTTTTTGATTGAAAATTTTAGCATAACTAAGAATATAATTTAGAACTTTAATGTATGTATATATTAAAAATTTCAAATAAAGTATATGGAGGTAATTAATTCTTTTTATTTTTCAAGTTGAAGTAATCGACCGCAACACGTGCAATGTTTTGTACAATGTGTAATGAATGTTGTTAAATATTTTACTACTATGCAATGAATGCTACATCTGATCTCCGAAATAATTTTAGTCACAATATAAGTTGTATCATCGAGTGCAATACGCTATCTATTGCCAATTAATCGTATTATTCTAATCCACTTTGCTAACTAACATGTCACTCTAAGATAGTTTAATTGATATCCGATATTTATTCAGTCACAACTTATGCTCAAGATGATTATGCAGTCCCTGGACAACATTCACTAATACGTAGCGGTTTTTTATCTACTTACAATTATGCTGCTACGTATCGGCCTACGTGATGGTCTGGGCTAATTCTAATGAACTGAAGAGTTGCCAGGCTTGAGGGGGAACTCGGGCAAATCGGTTCATACTCAAAGATGGTTTGCATGAGGAACCTGTCTAGGAGCGCACACCTGTGATGAGATCAGCAGTTACTTGCATGATAAAGCAACTTATTGCGTTGAGGCCTATTTTATATTTTGTGCTGTCGAAAAGGCGAGTGTTAATAAATATTATTATTGAAGAAAGAAAAAAATTCGTACCAACAGCTCAAGCGCTGAATGATGGAACTGATGAAATGATACGAAATGACAAGCGCTAATGAAATGATACGATTTTATGCACAATGACGGTTATACTGATGGAAAAGTTTTTTATGCAAGTTCGGAAATTGAGAAAAAATGTTAGGTTCAGTTTACAAGCAGGTTAATGGAGCTGGATTACCTCAAAAATTCCTTTAGCTTTCAAAATACTTTTTGGGCGATAAAATCTTAGTGCAATAAGCAACGCAGATTGAATTCTAATCCCACCCATTGTTTCTTTGCATTCAATTTACTGATCACTAACAATTAAAAATGATTGTTATAAGTTAATTGCTTCGGAGCAAATGTGATAATTTTATTGATCATAGTTGTATTTCTAAATTTTTTGAACTGAAAATAGAGCATTTCCAAAAATGTTTAAACAAACTATGGTGAATTAGTTAGGCGCTTCCATTGTTTTAAATAATCGATTCTCATTGATACCTTTACGAAAATAAATGATAAATATATGGACCCATTTCGGAATTGACCATTTATTAATAAATGTACTTAAGTATTGTGAACGCTTCTAGAGTCGGCAATGGGCTTTATTCTCGAGCCTTAAAGGTGAACAGAATATGTTAAAATTTTACGCCAATCTCAGAGTCGCTTTTACTCGATATGTCGCTTATACAAATTGTGTTCCTCATATCTTGCCTGGCTGTACTTTCGCTTGAAAATAAAGTATTAGTAACCTAAGTAAATTAAGTATTTAAGTATTAATTATGTAATTAAGTATTTGCTGCAAATGTTGAGTTAGGGACTTAACTTCATTAAAGCAAGTGTACTAAATCCAGCAATCGCTATTCGGGTTTTGATTATTAATTCATCAATAATTAGTACATTTATTTTTAAATATATGCAGGATCTTAGCCTGGAATCGTAAATTTATGTGGAGTAAATGCATAATTTGCTGGTGAATAACCACTTAAAAATATTTTTCTAATCGGAAACTGAATAATCGAACTGAAAATATGTAATTTCTTTCTTCCTGATCTGGGACGGCCTTCTTTGATGACATTAAATGACCACGAACATTTTTTGTCCCAAATTTTGGATTGATAAAGGGGCTAAATATCAAGTCAAATATTCGCTTACTCACGGACGAAAGCCACGCATGATAGATGCTGAGTAATCC